GGAAAAGGTGATGCAGCGCAATGGAACCAGTACGACATAGTCGATGTTGGTCCACGCTACTTCGTGGAGCGGGTTCACCAGATCTGCGCGGGCATTGTGGCCTGAGCTGGAAATATTAGCTCAGGCGGGGATCGTCGGGTTTCGTCGGCCTTGCGCCCCCTGGCAACCACCGTTGAGCGGAAAAATGCTTTTGGGGTTCGCTCCGGCGGCTGTGCATATGTACAGGCCAGGTGGGTTGGGGGGTCGGGGCGGCTCTACGGACCCCGCCGCGGGGGGAGTCAACGCACCCCTTCCGCACCACCAATATTTCGCCCTGCCTGCTCTCTCTCTCTCTCTCTCTCTCTCTCTTTCTCTCTCTCTCTCTCTCTCTCTCTCTCTCCTTGCGCGCGGTGCCTGCCTGCCGTGCTGACTGACTACTTCTGCTTCCGCAGCTATACTACTTTGGCTCTAGGGAAACGGAAAAGGAGCGAGCCTTCAGCGCGCGCGCGCGTGCGTCGGCCGGCGGGCCGGCCTCCTCCCTTCAGTGTTACGTTAGTGTATGCTTGACGGCATTCTCCCTTCTTCCCCATGTCACCTGCGAAGCCCACTGACCATGATATATTGCGAAGGCCTTACGGCCGGTGCCGCCGACCCTGACTGGCGACGACGACGACGACGACGAGCGCTCTTGGGGGCCTCTTGGGGGTAGTTTGTGGGCCTCTTGGGAAGCTCTTAGGGGCCGCTTGGAAGCCTCGTGGGGGCCTCTTGGGGCTTCTTGGGGTTCTCTTGGGGGGGGCCTGGGACGTCTTGGAGGCTTCTTGGACGGTCTTGGGGCTATCTTGGGCGTTTTCGGCCGATCTTTGGGCGACTCGGGGCCCTCTTGGGCCGTCTCGGGGGCCATCTTGGGCATTCGGACCTCATTTGGAGTGTTTTCGAAGTTTCTAGGCCGCCCGATGAAAAAAAAACTAATCTGCCCCCCCCCCCCCCCCCGGGACCCCTCCCGGGACCCCCCCCCCTGGGGAAGGGATCAAAGGGAAGGGGCTTCCCTTCGAGTCGATTACGACACTGCTAGATTTTTTTCTAGCTCACGAGCTTGAGAAGGAAGCTGCATGGAAAGGGGACGACGGAGGCGACGACCGACGGAGACGACGACTCGAACAGCCAAGTTCCTCGCACACGTCGACAGGGTCGGCGGATTACCGGAACATTTCGCAGGGATTATGAATATCCAGGCAAAAGACCTGCACCCGCCGCAGATTCCGTGACGGCGAGCCAATTCTGTTTTCGAGCGCAGGTGTGACTTTCTCGGAGCGAGCGCTGCTGGGGAGATTTGCAAGCATCATAACATGATGCGAACAGGAAGGCTTGCACTGTCGATGTGAATCTGGTAAATGCAGCCACGGCGGGTACGATGTGACACGCGATCGCGAAGAGCGGGTGATCATTGAAACGCAGTTGCGTAGCAGGAGGAGGAGAAGGAGGAGGAGGATCACTGGATGCGGGGGGGTACGGGACTTATCTCATTATCATTATCAGTCTCCTCCTGCTGCTCCTCCTCCTTCTCTCCCTTTTCCTCATAACCAACGCCCCTGTGGCGGGGCGTTTCGCTGGAGATTTCTGCATCATTTGTGATGTTGCAGCTTGAGCCGTGCAATGCTACCACGGACGGAGGGCGGAACGTTTTCAAAATGTAGCTCTCGCACTACTGCCGCGCACATTCGTCCCACAATTTCGCAAGAGCTTCGCGGATGGATGGGGTCGTTCTCAAAATGTAACTATCGCCCTAGCGCCGCTCACATGTTGATTGATAGTTGGCGCTGCTTTCTCGGATGGAGGGGAGACCGTTTTCAAAATGGAACTCTCGCCTTAGTGCCACGTACTTTCGTTTAACAACTAGAAGCAGCTCCGTGGATGTAGACGGGGTCGTTTTCAAAGTGTAGGTCTCGCATCAGCGCCGTGCAACATCTTCAAGGATTGGGCGTGCTTCCCTTTCAGAGTGAGGCTCTCGCCCCGGCGATGCGCGCATTTGTTTGTACAATCCTGCAGCAGTTCCAGGGCATCCGGGTTTTTTCGTTCCAAAGTCCAGGAGGGGCGACACACACACACACACACAGGCATAATCAATCGGCGGCCCCCAGGGAAATATGTGAAACTATGGACGTGAGGGGGAAGACGAACATCCAGAAAATATTGAAAACGATGTGGAATCCTGGGAATAATGTATCTTTATTTGTGTGTCCTTGGTCCCCATTGAAGAGTGGGCTCTCGCCTTCGCGCCGCGCGCACTCGTCATCAACATGTTGCAACAGCTGCAGGGACAGAGCCAGGGGCACTTGGACAGTGCGGCTCTCGCCTCAGCGACGCGCGCATTCGCTACAGTCAACTCGCATAGCGGGGATGAGTAACTTTACAGAGTTATCCTTGCATCCTTCCCCTTCGGCCCATCCTTGTCCTCTTTCGGTGGCCGCGCCCCGCTCGCACAGTGTAAATATGTCCTTCCAAGGCCCTTGCATCCTTATAGTGCGTGATTATTTTACGGTGTTGACTGTATACAATCTTGCAGCAGTTCAAACGATACAGGGCAGTTCCTTTTTCAAAGCGGGGCGCTCGCTTTATCGCCGCGCACAGTCGTCATCTCACTTTGCGCTACATGCAAGGGTGGAAGGTCGCTTTCAAACTAGGGCACTTGCCTCAGCGCCGCGCGCATTCGCCTCACCATTGTTCAGCAATTGCAAGGGCGGGCCACAGGTTGTGTTCAAAGTGGTACTTTCTGATCAGCGTTGCGTCGATATTCGTTTGAAGAGCTTGTAACTTAGAAGAAAGGGGGTATGTTTTTTGTAAAGAGAGGCTCTAGCCTGGGACGTGTGTGATCTAAGTCTCGGCGCATGCAGCGCTGCACCGATCAAGGATAGTTTCTCTTGACCATGGGGCTCGTGCAACCACGGGTGGGGAGCGGTCTTTTCGAACTGAGGACCTCGTTGGACACCCCGTTGATTGGTATCAGCATGATGTTTCGAAGTTTTGTTTCTGCACCAGAGGACTTCCCTTTTGAAAGCGAAGCCTTCGCCACTTGGTAGGCCCATATGGTTTCGGTCTTTCCAAGGGGCGCCTCCTGCTGTGGACAGCATAGCCTGTCGGAGCGTATGAGGTGGGATCTCGGGACTGGAAGGTGTATGGCAGCACTGTTGAATCATCGTGGGTTTGCTCGGGTCTTCTGCCTACTTCTTCTTGCTGCTGCGGCTCTCCCTCCTTCTCCTCCTCCTCCTCCTTCTCTTCCTCCCTTCCCTTCCCTTCCTCCTTCTTAAATGTGTGCGGGCACAGCGCTTATTGGCTGTCGACGGATACAGCTGGTCTGCGACACGGTCAGGAACTTTGTTTTCCTCGCCATTCATTTCGGTGCACTCACTCTCACGGGTTGCGCGGCCTTCCCATCAGTGCACCCAGCTTAGTTCTCACGGGGGGTTCTGTTCATTTGAGCTCAAGCACCACTTGGAGGGCACGCTGCACTCGCTGAGCCCACACATCATCACGACATCGACCCATGGGCTGAGGCGCTGACAAGTCTGCTGCTGCTGCATCCATCCCTGCCCACTATTGCACACACTTGCACATGTTACTACAAGGACGAGGCCGCCCCGCTGCCGCAACCTTCGAGAAGATATCCAAACAAATCACACCTGGCGCCCAAGCTCAGCCCACCGCCTCCATCACCAAGCACCGCCGATCCTGTCGGCCGACAAGATCAATGCGAACGCTACACTACTGACGTCAAGCGACGTGCTGACAATGCTGAGACGCTCAATAAGGACCTGTCCGAATCTGTTGCCGCCACCAAACGCACCCTGGCAGCCGCTGAATCCATGTACCCCGCAGCTAACATCGACTCTTTTGACACGTGGAACCGCGCCCCCCACTACGGCACGTTCTGGTGCGGCGCCAGCTCTGGGTTCAACGCTGCTTCGCTCAAGGCTTTCCTCGCGGAGTGGTTCATCGCTGCCCAGGTTGATTTCCACTCCATCCCGATCGAAATCAGTGGGCCCACAAAGCGAATGTCTTTACGATTAGCGGCGGTGACCGTGACCAGCTTGCTGGTCCCCGTGCTGCCCAGCCACGCAAAGCCTTTCGAACCGGACAAGACGGGAGAATCTTCAACATCGGCACCACAGACGGCCGAACCGCATCGCCCGAAACGGATCGCCTCAACGCAAAAGGGTCGGGAACCTCATCATCGCCAAATTTCCGCTTCCTTTGCCAAGGGCCCATCGTTCCTTGGGCCACGTGTCGCTCAACGGCACACTCGTCGTCGAGGTCTCTGCTGGCGACTCCGCGTCGGACCCCTCTATGTTTTGTTGGTCTGGTGCTGCTGCACCTGCTGGCATCTCTCCTCGCGCTCAGGCCCAGCTCGGGGAAGAACCCCCAGCTGCTTTCGCGGACCCACTGGCTCCAGCGCAGTGGCTCTAGCAGTCGATAGTCGCCATGATTCACCACGCCATGCAAAGAAAACCCCAACATCGTATCCTGGACCTCTCAGACTCTACTTGGTAGGTCCGCTGCCGAGAGGTCTGTCAAGAGGGTTATCCCCACTTCGCGCATGCGTCAGCGATCGATCGTCGCGACCCAGGAGCACCGCAGAAACGCCTTCGACCTGCAACTCTTCGCTGAATCTACCCAGCACCACTGCACGTCCTCCCTCCCGTTCGGCGTTTGACGGCGACTCAGAGACTACTAGTGGAGTGGAAGGGCCCGCGCCGCTTGGTGAGCAACATCCCGCCGAGCAACGTCGCCTTCATCGCGAGTTTTATCCTGATGCGCCTGGCCCCATAGCCGAGCTTCGCGTGCAGGGCGCCGCCCGAGTATTCGAGACCGCGGTCTTTGATGTGCGCGACCGCGAGCTACCGCCATATGGCGACGCGAAACTCAGCGCAGCGTGCCATGCTGCCTGAGCTCGCGTCCCCGCCCACCCGAACACCCACGAACTCATCTTCATTGGCGACTTCGACATCGTTGACGTCCCGCCGAAGGTGCCAACATCCGCCTGCGTACTGGAAGAACATCTTCAACTCGGTCGTGGAAGTTACCTCGCGCTCGTCAACCCGCCGCTGCTCCACCGGCATGGCGGAATCCATAGTCTCCCTTTACATCATCCTGGCCGACGCTTCCATAGCCCGGGCGGGGGAACCCGACAGTGATCGTAAAGTGCTTTATCTTCGTCTGCGCCCGCGGGCCCAGGACCCCCTTACCAAGAGAGACGCCCCCGCCTTCGCATCTCAGTCGTCGCGCTACAAGCCGCAGTGTGGCGCGCGGCCAAGGTGGCGCTTGCAAGCTGGAGGTCCCGCCTGCTACCTTGGTTCGCCCCGCGAGCGCTCAGGGGCGCCGCGCTGTCCCACTCAGTCGCTTTACTCCCTGGCGCCGACGCTGGACAAGGCGCGGGCGAAGGTGCGGGCGAGGGCCCCAAGTCGCCGCAGCAGGGCTACATCCTGGAACTCCAGCTGCTCCTGTCCTCCGACAGGCGCGCCCTGTGCCTCGCAGTGGTCCTACGACGACCCCAGTTCAGCACCATCCACAGCGGACACCGAGATGCATGGCACCGACGCAAACAATCAGCGCGTGACATTTATGAACCGGCAGTGGGAAGCACGACCACAGGCAGACGTCGTCGGGCCACGATGTGCCTCGCCCATCGCTGCTACCCGCAGGCGCGACGCCGAAGCTGCTGATCATCGAGCCCGCGGGCGTTGGATCTCCGCTGAACCCCCTGCTCCTGAAGTCTTCCCGAACGGATCCGAGCCCGACGTCGAAGCGGAGGAGCCTGCTGACCTGGTTGGCGTGGCGGACTGGCGTCGCTATCTGGCCGCCGAATGGAATTGTCCCCGCAACCACTTATCACGCGCTTCACCTCCGAAGCTCTGGCTAGCTCTGAAAATATTAGCTGGTGCGTGGACGACGAGCCATCGCGTGCGCATTAACCCCGCCGAGCTCCCGGGCCTCTTCGGCTGCCCGAGCGGCAACATGTTCCCGAGCAACATCGACGACATCGTGCACTGTCTCACCTGTCCGAAGATGTGTTCGCACCTCTGCCAGCTTCGTGGCGTTGTCACATCGCCTCTGCGGACTGAGGATCCGCGACGGAGAGAACGATGTCGACTACGCCATCGCAAGGATGTCCGTCGTGCTCGAGACCTACAACTTCATCCGCATCAACTATCCGACCTCCAGCCACGAGGTCGGGGCCGACAGCTACAACTTCAACAAGGGTGCTGTTGCCGCCCGCGCTCTGGCTTCCCCCGTGCCTAGCTGTGGCGCTAATAACTAGCAGACATTTCGAGTGGGACGTTCGTTCCTCCATTTCCTCCTTTTCCTTCTTTTCCTCCTCCTCCTCCTCCTTCTCCTTCTTCCTCCCCCCTCATCCTCCCTCCCTTCCTCCTTCCATCCCCCCTCCCTCCCCCTGCCTTTCGCTCTCGCTCTTGCGCGCGCCTGCTCCCGAACTCCGCCCGCCCCCCTGGCATGGCGCCCCCCGCGAGCCTGTGAGACCCCGGCTGGGTGGTGCACCGGAGGAATCGGCAGCCGAGGCTGCGAGCGGAGATGCCATCACCTGGCCGTTTCGAAGTCCATCTTGGGCTGGAGGGCTCGACATGGCAGTTCGATGTTCCCCTCTTGGGCAGTCATCGAGGGGCTCTTTGGGGCCTCCTGGGCCCTTTTTGGGGACCCTAGGAGCTTTCTTGGGCGGGTCGTGGGAGCATCTTGGGCCGATTGGGACGTTAAAAAAACGAAACACCCGCATTTGTTTCCATGGTTCTGGGTTCTTGAGCGGGCCCCACAAGGCTTCAAGACGGCCCAAGAAACCCCTTAGGGAGCCCTACGACGGTCTCTGGGGACCATCCTCAGGCATGTCGGAAACGTGGGTTTCGAACCACGCTTCTGAGGCCTTTTGCAAAAAGCGCGCGGAGAATCAGGACAAATGGGAAACGCTCGAGAGCGTCTCATAGTTGCAGATATTCGAGCAACCCTGGGAGGTGGAGGACCCAGATGTGTGTGCCCTGGGGGGCGCCCAGAGCGGCGGGCAGACCTTTCGACGGAATCCCCGTGGTGCGTGCGCACCGTTCGTATGCGCGTCTCGCCTGGTATCGCGCCTGGTAGCCGTGTTCAATGGCAGCTCGCCCGCTATACCACGCCGTAGCTCTGGCCCCGCTTGCGCTCGAGCCCTCTGGCCGCACTGCCCCACCGTCGGCGCGCGTGCTTCCCGCGCCATATGCAGCCTCGCCGTCCCCAGGCCCGCGCGCCCCTCCGCCGAGGAGACCAGGGAGGCGGGCGGGGCGACTGGCGACCGACGGCCTTCCACTTGGGATCTCAACCTGGGTGGGCAAGAGGGAGCCTTGGTCACGTAAGGCGTTGCAGAAGAGGGGTTCGTCTTCGAGGGGTCGAGCTGCCGGCCTTTCCACCCTCGGTGGAAGCCAGCAGGAGGCCCGCGGAGGCTGTCGGAGGTAAGACGAGGGCGGTCTTGCCGGTGGCAGCCAGTGGAAGTGACAGCAGTCTTCCCAAGGGAGATCACATCGTCGGGGTAAAAGAGAACAGGGGGGATCCCTGTTTGGTTTGGGTTCCGGCGCCTTTTCTGAATCATTGCTCTGGGCTGGGCGGACTGGGAGACGTCAGGGGAGGGGCAACACTTTGGTTCACCGATGGTCTCTGTTCCCCAAATCTTCTCTTTGCGCGTGGAGGCTCCGAAAAGACCCCCCGCGTGCTCGCCCGCGGTCCTTGGACGAGCCCCGCGGGCCGGGCGGAGGGGAGCTGAGGCGACCCTTTTCACTCGAAGCCCGACACACTGCTGCGCGTGGCCGTCTCGGCTCGAGTGGCGGCAGGGGCAGCGCCAGGGTCGCCATGGCCGACCCCCAGCTTCCCGCCGTGCTCTCTGCGCTGGGTCGCAGCCTCCAGGCCCTGGGGCTGACGGAGTGCACCCCGCCCGGCGAGGTCGACGCCCTGTGGCGCAAGCTCTCGGAGGTGCCGGCCGTCGGATCAGAGCAGTGGGCGAGCGACGGCGGCCTCGAGGACCTCGCCGAGCGGTGCGTGGGCCTGTCGGCAGGCGCTTGCTGGCCGGAGGGGGACGAGCTGACCCCGCCGGGCACGTTCGCGCCGGAGCCGTGCTCGGGCGGGCCGAGCGCCGACGCCGTGGAGGTCGCGGCGCACGGGCTCGCCGTGCTGGCCTGCGGTTTCGGGGCCACCACTTGCGGGAGTGATCCGCTCGAGACCCTTGGGCGCCTGGCCCCGCAGTCGGCTGGCCGAAGGTCCGAAGGTGCAGGGCTGGGCCGGGCGGGGGTCAGGAGAGGGCAGGGGGTCGCGTGAGTGTGCTCAGGTCCTCCCCCCCCAGGGCGCAGGGAAGGGACTCAGAGGGACCCCGGGGGGGCGAGCTTCCACAGAGGCGGCGTGGCCGGGCATGCGCCCCGCTCGGCTGACCCTTGGCCTTTCGGCCAGCCAGCGCAGCTCGACGCGCTGGCGCCGCTCATGTTCTGCTGCCTCTCCAGGCTGGGTGCCGCGGGCCCTCTGGTGCTGTGTGGGCAGGACCGCCGCTTGCTGCGGTCCCTGCAGGCGCTGGCCGCTTGGACAGTTTCCACTCTCGGGCGCGCCCTGGGCTACGGGCGCCTGTCCAGCGCTGTGCTGTGGGAGTGGGCGTCCCGCGACGCGTACTGGGCCGTAACGGTCTGCCAGGGCGTCCTCTCCTTCCGGGCGCCAGACGTGGACGGCGCAGAGGGCGGCGTGCTCGTGCCGGCCGACCTGGACTTGCTGCAGGCAGCTGTCCTCCGCGCGCTGCTCGGTCTCTCGGCGCCCGCAGTGGCGTTTCCCGAGGACTCCGCAGACTCTGTGAGGATGGTGGAGCGAGACATGGCGCTCGTGCGCCACCGCTCGGAGCTCGCCGTGGCCGTCCGGCGATGCCAGGTGATGCAGTGGGTCCTGTGGGCGTGCGCCCGCGAGGGTGGCAGCACAGCCGCCGCGCTCGCGGCGTTCCTCGCGGGCCTGCTGCAACCTGGCCTCGAGTGCGACCCCGAGTGGGCGGCCGCTTCGGACTACCGGTCGGGCGCCGACCTGGCTGACCACATCCGTGGGGCTCCGAGGTAGTCAGAGGGTGCGGCGAAGGTCGGGGGGACCACGGGCGAGGCGTCGTCTCTCCCTGGGCCCCCCTCCATCTGCGGATTTCAGTCGGGAAGTCCATCGCCCTGGCCGCCTCAACCTCCGCCGCAGACCTGCCATCTTTCAGGGGGGCTCCTGCACGGGAAGGGGATTCCGTCCCAGCACGGAGGGCCGTGTGTGAGGGGGGGTCGGAGGTGCGAGGGGCCCTTTGCGCCAGGTGAGGGCTCATTGGGCCCTCGGCCCCACGACGCCCGCATCAGCCCCGCCCTGAAGCCATGTCGGCCCCTGGAGCTCCGCGGCGCGTGCAGCGCTTCCGTTGGGACCTCTGGAACCTCCTCGCCGACGCCCCGGCCGCGCACAGTGGGGAGCTGCCGCGCGGCTTTCTGCAAGACTGCGCGAACGTTGCCCACGAATGCCCGCCTGCTGGCAGTGGTGGCCGCAAGTTCCTGGAGCGCTGCCTGTCCAGCGTCTGCGGTGTTCGTGGCCCCGCCTCTGAAGACGGCTACGCCCTCGCAGCTCTGTGCATCTTCGCAGCCAACGCGAGGCTGGACCGCGACGAGGGGAGCCCGCTGGTGCTTGAACTGCAGGGCGTCACTGCGCCCGAGGTTATCGTCGCGCACTGGAGTAGGTGGAGTGGCCCCGTACGCACAGAGTCGCTGCGCTTCTGGGCCGATGCCCTGCTGGGGGCTTCCACAGCGGTGCTGGCGCCGCTTCCGCCGACGTCCCAGCCAGGGGTCCCAGAAGACCACGCCATGGCTCACATGGGCGCAGCCGCGCCGCGTCGCCGCGGGGGCCCGCTCCAAGCCCTGCTGCAGGAGGTTCCCGACGAGTTTCGCTGTGCCATCGACGGGCACCTCATGATGGACCCCGTGTCGGGCCCGGGCGGCCGCGTGTGCGACAGGGGTGCGCTGGCCGAGTCTCTCGCCGAGCGCGGCGTGTGCCCTCTGACGGGTAGCCCCGCGTCTCTCAGCGACTTTGCGCGGGAGCCGGCGCTGCGGAGGAGGATTGTCCGGTGGATCCGAGAGCACCATACGGGACCGGCCGCTGAGCAGGCCAGGCGATAAATAGTTCACGTCGACCCTTCCAGGGAGCAGGGAGCGAGACGGACGGAGGGAGGAGGACAGGGCGGGAGGTGGATGCAAGGGGTACGAGATAGAGGCGGGGATAAAGCGATAGTTCTTACGACTGAGGTTCAAACGACGTCCTCATTCGCGTTTTGCTATGATCTCGCCGAGGATCCAGGAGGCTGGGGAGGGTATTCGGAGGTTGCGGCAACTACGACGAGGTTCGGGACGGTCCTCGTCCTCCTCATCCTCCTCCTGTCTCGCCTAGGAAAAAATATCGAAGGAGGCGCTTGGCCACGAACATCAGATGCCCCCCTCTTCCTCCTCCTCCCCGTCCTTCTCCTCCTCCTCCTCCTCCTCCTCCTCCTCCTCCTGGTACTCTCTGTATGTACTCCTTTTCCTCCTCCCTTTTTGCTTGAGTCCATTGGATCCCCTGTGGGACGCCAGCTCTGAAGGATTACACATTACACGCTTTGAGAAGACAGACCATTCAGTACCGCTGCTTGCGATCCCTTCGCCGCAGTAACGTACTCTTCTCATTCTCGCATGCGTGTCAGAATCGACGGCACATGTCGGTCCACCTCCACGAACGGTTGATTCTCGGGATATTGTTCGGCTTGCGACGTGTGCATCGGGCGATCGCCTGGGCCAGAGACGGGGTCTACCAGCCATCCTTATGAAACTCGCCAATTTTGGGCATCAGCAGAGAATCCTGGCCACAGTTACCAGGCCATACCAATTTATGCGTATCACAGGAAACACCTGCTGACCCGTGGCGCGTCTTTGCGGTCGCAGATGTTGTGCAGGACCACCGGGCAGTTCCCCTAGGCGTCAGGCTTGTTGGAGCTGCTGGGGAACACACGCAACGGCGTCCATCCTGTTCGCCACCCACCCGTGCCGCTCCTCCTGGGAGACGCAGCCGATGTGAAAGCGACGACGACAGTCGGAGTGCCAGCGCGGGGGATTGAGATCTCGGAGGAGCACTAAGCCATCAGGCCCCCCTCCCCTGGGCTGAGGTCCACGATGCCTTCCAGAGCTGGGGGTTGGAGATAGTTCGTGCAAGGGGCCAGAAAACAGCGCCACCACAGCACCACGAGGACACTCCCCTGCTATCTGACGATAGTCATGCTGGTAACGATTCTCCCTCGTCCTTGAGCAGGCGCGCCAAATGAGACGATGTTCCAGCCGCAGGTGTCGCATTGGCATTTATTTCTCCCCGACAGCCCTGGGTACCCACTGGAGCTCTGGGGCATCCGGCAACGTGCCCCCCCAGCTAGTTGCCATGCTTCTTGAACGTATGCGTCTGCTGTGATCTCAGCGGGTGCCTCAGCGCCTGCCAAGGCCACGGGCCGCGCGGAGGCCGCCAGAGGCAAGGCCGAGCTCCTCGAGGCCTGCTTCCCGAAGGTCAGCAGAGGCAGCCCGGTGGCCAGGCTTCGGGGCGGGCTGCGCAGAAGCATTGCAAGGGCTCGCGAGGGGAGGGGGGACGCTGAGCAGGCCAGGCCTGATTCGGGGAGCTATGCTCCTCACTCCCCTTGGGTGCCTGAGGATAGAAAACGGCATAAACGTGATGTCTCTAAGGTCCGCGCGGATTTCTTGGATCGGCGCTGGGCCCCCCTCCCTGTCGGCGCCTCAGGCGCCGCCCCTGGCGCGCTCCGCGCGCCAGGGAGGGGGGTCGAGCGCCCATTCAAGAAATCCGCGCGGACCTCAGAGATATGTTTATGCAGTTTTTCGTTCCTCTAGAGGGTCCCATTGGCTTCCCTGCTCGAGAGATCGTCGACATGATGGGTCCACCCAGGGGGGCAATATGGAAGGCAGCTCCCCCAGTTGTGGCTGGTCGGCTGAGGCCCCAGACTTCCGACGCCGTGGTCTGTTCAGCACCAGCATTTCTCCTTCATTCGACCGCCTCGCGCGCTCCGCCGGCCCCTGTTGCATCAGCGGTGCCGTCTGCCAGTGTGCCTCGTGCCGATTGGGAAGATGCTGGCCGGAGGTAGTTTCTCCAAGCAGTCTTGTGGAGCTCGCGTGAGGGAGAAGCAGTCTTGGATGGGCCACCTTAGGTCATAATGAGGCCTCCTGGGGCTATCTTGGGGCCGTCTCGGGGCCAGTCTCCCTGTGGCCTCCAGTGTTGGTCCGCTCTTTGGCTCTCTTTAGGCCCTCTTGCAGCTCTCTTGGGGCCCTCTTGGGGGTCTCCTGGAGAGTCTTGGGACCCTCTCAGGGCTCTTTTGGGCCCATTTTGCGGCCACCATGGGCGCCGAGAAGCCAAATGAAGCCTGAAAGTGCAGGACGGCGATCATGATTTTACAGACGTGTGTTTTATCAATGGTCCTGGCCGTCTACGGGGACTTCTGGGGATGTTTGGAGGCTATCAGAAGTTTGAAGAAACGCTCCGGGGGGGAGTGAACGCATAGGTTGCTTTACCTGCCGCCGCCTTGGCCCAAGGCGGCGCAGCCCTATTTGCTTGTGTCGCCTGCGCGGCGCATGATGTGCAGCGGCGCGGGAGGAGAAAAGGCCTTTTCTCCTCTCCGCGCTGCCACCACTGCCATCGTACTCTGTAGTCTCTTTTTACAGTCTCCCCCCGTATTTCCAGTATGTGCTTGCGAATCCCATTCCGACTTGGTGGCGAAGCTGTCGCACCTGCGGCAGCTCTGCTCGCCGTCGTCATCGGTGCGCTGACGAACAACATGATCTACGCCGACCATTCCCCACACCAACATCCAACATCTACGTGGAAGCGGAGGTGGCATCGTGGACGCCTTCCGTTACGTCTGCTTGACCGCCACCAAGTACAACGCTACTCTCGGGACTCCGCCTGCCTTTACAGCGGCGGGACCAAAGTTCATTTGACTTTCCCAGGGGCCGTGGATTTGCCAAAAGGGCATCTGCCCCCCTTTCCCTTCATATCATCCAAGCAAGAAAAGCCTTTTCGGGCCCTTGCCATGAGCGGAGTGATTACACCCTGGGGTTCTCGGCCTTTATAGTGTGTATATATACACATGTATTATATATATAATATATATATATATGTATATATATAGATATGTGTATACCGTTACAGATCCAGGATCCAAGTTATCCCATTGATTGTCACGAAGGAAATAACGACCCCATTGCCCCACATATCCTGGTCTCAATTACCACCGTTATTTCACGTTCGAAACACTTATTCCGAACTAGTCCCGGTTCCGGCTTCAGGTGATTTCGGTTCTTCGCATGTCCGACGAAATTTTCGTCCCGCGGAAGGAGGCGGTCGGCCTCTTTGGTCTGTTGGTCCCATCCTGGGCGTCTTGGAACGATGTTTGGGCGTCTCGGGGCCCTCTTGGAATGTCTGCCACTTGGAGCCCTCGTGGCCCGTCTTGGCCGAAACAACCACGCTGGGAAGTGCGCCGGGGCCCAGAGGGCACGCGCCGCAACCCAGAGGACGCGCGCCGCAACCCACGGGGGCACCAGGAACTCGGGCCCAGGCCTTTCCTTGATTCCCCATCATTGAGGACTGAGGCTCAGGGGATTGCGCAACGGACCTGAAGACATGCCAATTTCGTGCCAGGCGGCACGGTGGCGGACTACTGTCGCAAAACAAGACGAGTATTTCGCCTCTCTCCTCAACATGGGCGTTTTGTCGGTGCCTTTTCCCAGAGGGTTCCTGTGCGCGGCCCATGTTTCCCCTTCGCCACGTCGTCGGAAGCAGGGCTGCGTGCACGCGAACCCTTCCGTTCGCAAGGGGGGGGGCGTGGTCGGCTCCCAATGTCCAGCTTTGCTACCGTCGATGCTTATGCTCGTGGAAGGGGGGGGTCAGAATGCGGCGCCCTCGGGATGGAGTTGCTGGCTACTTCGGCTCCCCCTCATGCCCCTGCTCCTGCTGCTCCTCCTCCTCCTCCTGCAGTTTCTCTTCCTTTTCCTCTTCCTCCTCTTCCTGCCCTTTTTCCTGCTCCCCCTCCTCCTCCTCCTCCTCCTCCTCCTCCTCCTCCTCCTCCTCCATTTCTTCTTCTCCTCCTCGTCCTCCGTCCTCCTCCTCCTCCTCCTCCTCCTCCTCCTCCTCCTCCTCCTCCTCCTCCTCCGTCCTCCTCCTCCTCCTCCTCCTCCTCCTCGTCCTCCTCCGTCCTCCTCCTCCTCCTCCTCCTCCTCCTCTTCCTCCTTCTCCTCCTCCTCCTCCTCCTCCTCCTCAGGCCGCCACGACGACGACGATGACGACGACGACAAACGACGACCAGGGACCGACGACCGATGACCCACGACCGAGGACCGACGACCGACGACAGACGACCGACGACCCACGACCGACGTCTGACGACCGACGACCGATGACCGAAAACCGACGACCGACACCCGACGATTGACGACCGACGACCGAAAACCGACGACCGACGACCGAAAACCGGCGGCCGACGAGAGGGGGCGGCCGCCGCACCCTCGGAGGCGAGTTGCTGCCCGAGAGGCGCCGGTTGCGCGGACCCGTAGCTGGAGCTGGGAGGATCTGGTCGGGGGGGTCGCGGAGGAGGAAGAGGCGGTGGGAGGGGGAGCTGGTCGGGGAGGAGGAGGAGGAGGAGGAGGAGGAGGAGGAGGAGGAGGAGGAGGAGGAGGAGGAGGAGGAGGAGGAGGAGGAGGAGGAGGGGAGGAGGGATGGTGCTGGGGAGGGGGAAAAAGGGGGAGGCGGGGCATGATACTGCTGCTGATGAGGATGGTGATGATGATGATGATGATGATGATGATGATGATGATGATGATGTGATGATGATGATGCTGATGATGATGATGATGATGATGATGATGATGATGATGATGATGATGATGATGATGATGATGATGATGATGAGGAGGAGGAGGAGGAGGAGGAGGAGGAGGCGGATGAGGTGGCTGAGGCTGAGGATGAGGACGACAATGAGGATGAGCATGAAGAGGATGAGGATGATGCTGATGGAAATGAGGATGCGGATGATTATGAGCAGGATGAGAGAGGAGGAAGGAGGAGGAGGAGAAGGAGGAAGAGGATGAGGAGGGGGCGATGATGCTGATGATGACGACGATGATGAGAATGATGCTGATGGTGATGATGATGATGGTGGTGGTGGTGGTTATGATGACGAGTACGCGTTGCTGCTGCGGCGGCGAGTGCTGCTGATGATGTGGCTGCTGCTAATGTTGGTGATGCTGCTGATGATTATGGTGATTATGATTATGATGATGACGATGATGATGGTGGCGCTAGTGGTGGTGGTGGTGGTGACGAGATGATGCTGGTGATGATGCTGGTGAGGAGGAGGAGGACAAGAAGGAGGAAAAGGAGGCGCAGGAGGAGGAGGAGGAGGAGGAGGGGGAGAAGGAGGAGAAAGTGGAGGAGGAGGAGGAGGAGGAGGAGGAGCAGAGGAATGAGGCCTTGGACGTGAAGGACAGGAAAAAAGAGCGAGATGAGGAGGAGGTGGCGTGTATGACGTGTGGAGAAGGAGGATGGGTCGTCGGCGGCGCTGTCGCTGTCGCCTGTCGCCTGTCGCCTGTCGCCTGTCGCCTGTCGCCCAACGCCTGTCGTCTGTCGTCTGTCGTCTGCCGCCAGAAGCGGCAGCGGGGGCGTGTTCGTCGTCGTCGTCGTTCGTCGTCGTCGTCGCCGTCGTCGTCGGCATCATCGGGGATCGAGAAGCGAGGTTCGACGAGTGAGGCTTCGGAATGTTCGTGTGCCTTTCTTTGGGCCTCGGCGTTGCGGCCCTCGTCGCCGCGGCCAGATCCGTCTCGGAGTTCGGATTTGCCTCGTGGGGATCTTGGCGAAGGTCAGTTTTTTGCAACGTTCTGGCCGTTTGGAGGCCCGCCCGGGCCCAGGAACCATCAAATCACAATCCGCGATACTGACCCTCAAGGAGGTCGGGAGGTCCTTGGGCCTCGCGTCTCGACAAACAAACACGTCTGTGGTCTGATGAGTTTGGCTCGAAAGCACGGACGGCAAATATAGGGGCAATGGCGAACTCGCGAGGGGGTCAGGGGGAATTCCTGACCAATTCAAATGCAATCGGGCCATCTGGACTCGGTTCCTCTTATTCAAGTCCTGATCAGATGCAAATCTCTCCTCCGGTTCGGCTCGGATCCTCTTTCTTAGGGGACAGGGGGGGATCAGAGCAGAATGAGGGGAGGGGGATGGGGCTGTAGCAGAAGCAGGCCTCCAGCCGAAGCAGGCCCCAGGTAAGCTGCGAGCGAAAGGGCGTGCACTCTAGACCTCTGGCGGCTCGAGCACCTCGAGCCCAAACATGCTCTGCATTTTCTGGGTGCTGGAAGCTGTTCCCATGCGCTATTGCGCACAGTTGCACGCGCAGTGCTGCCAGATCTGGAGCGTGAGCCCCATTCATGATACGAGTCAGGGCATGTTTCGCATCATCCTGCGCCTGTGCACGTATGCACGTTTGAGCTGAACTTTCTGATCTACGTCTGCCCACCCGTACGTCAGGGATGCAAGGCTACAGACAGACAGCCAGGAGGCTGTTTCTGGATCTCAGGGCGGGTCGCGGTGAAGGGGACGAGGGCTCCAGGGCTCCAGGGGCCGGCGGGGCTCGAGATGGCCGAGCCGTCGGGTCTCTGGTTGAGGGCGCCGCTCACGAGCTGCTGTTCTGTGAAGTCGGTGCTCTTGCGGGGCACTCCCGACCTGTCGGGGCCTGACTTTTGGGGGTGGCTCGGTTGGCCTGCCCCCATCCTGCCCAGGGCCTGACTCGTGGACTCAGAGGTGACGGTTTGGCTGGAAGACCTTCCTCCTCTCCCGCTCGTCCTGCGCCCACAAGCACGGCCCCAGCCGTTGCCAGGCCCCTCCCCCCCGAGCCGCCCTGCGCGAGGAGGAGGCGTGGCGCCTGGAGAGGCTGTTCAGGCCGAGCGAGCACGCCGGCCCGGTCGGGCGTCCCAGCCCGTGGGCGGGGGGGGGGGGGCTGGCCCACCTGGGGGGGGAGCAGCCACAACCAGTCGCCCATTCGTGGCCAATTCGGCCTGGTGCCCCACCCCGCCCAGGAACCTGCGGGTTCGCTATCTGGGGCCTATCGCCGATCCGTCGGCAACGTATCGCCGCGTCCAAGTCGATGGTTCCTTTCCTGAGCCAGTTTCCCCCGCCCCCCCCTATCGTTCCCCGTCGAATGTCCAAGACGCCCGAATGTGCGACGAACAGAATCAGGGCCAGCCGCGCGGACATTCGCGCGTTAGCTGCCCGCGTAAGGTCGCGCGCAAGCGCCACTCCTGCCACGCAGTGGGGCCACGTTGGCGGCGTTGCCTGAAGTGCCCCTGTCCCCAAACTGGCCCCAGCTTTTCCAGGGAGACCTGGCTGCCTTCCAGGGACACCCTCCATGAGGCCAACAGGGCACCATGGGGCTCTAAGGTGGCCCGAAACACTGTGGACACCCTGGGCCAGGGCAGCGCACGAAATGGGGCAGGAGTGCGTAGATGGGGATCCGAGGGTGCGCCGCACCGCTGATGCACTGGCGATGCGCCGCGGTCTGGAACTCGGTCGGCTCCATCCCGACGTCGCCCATGCATCGTCGATGCATCTTCCATTTGGTGCGATCGTCCGACCACAGTTTTGCCCTGCCTCCGTGTGGGAGGCCTTCAGCAAGCGCAGGTGGTCTCTTGAAGGTACACTGGGAGTCCACGGGTTTGGGCAACGAAGGGGTGGCCTACCTTGTTTTCCCCTGACATCCGGTCGCCGTGGTGAACAAACATTCGACGTTCGCTGTGTGCCCGCTTTGGGCCCTGGGACCCTCGCGGATTGATCCGGCTCGAGAGGTTCGGCCGTTGTTTGTCTCTAGACGTAATGTTTTTCTCTTGCAAGAGTTCGGGTGTCGGGCCCTCCTGGCGTCGTGATACAAGTATGACAGGTGGTCATGGGTTTTTGTATTCGCCTCCTGGAGGTCGAGTTGTGATCCTGGGGGCCCTCGCAGATCAACCAGCGAAAGCGGAGGAAGAGGGTTCGGGATGGTGATGATGACGAGGAGTAGGAGGGTGATGAGGAGGAGTGTATTCAGCATGATGATGCTGATGATGCTGTTGCTGCTGCTGCTGCTACTGATACTGATGCTGTGGGTGATGATGCTGATGAGGATGCAGATGAGGATGAGCATGAGGATGAGGATGTTGATGATGCTGATGCTGATGCTGATGCTGATGCTGATGCTGATGCTGATGCTGATGCTGATGATGCTGCTGATGATGACGACGATGCTGAAGCTGCTGCTTCTGATGATGATGCTGATGATGATTACGACGATGCTGAAGCTGCTGCTGCTGCTGATGATGACGACGACGATTCCGACGACGGTGCTGATGCTTCTGATGATGATTCTGATGATGCTGATGATGTTGGAGATGATGCTGATGATGATGCTGTTGCTGCTGCTGCTGCTGCTGATGATGATGATGATGATGATGATGATGATGATGATGATGATGATGATGATGATGATGATGATGATGATGATGATGATGATGATGATGATGATGATGATGATGGTGGTGGTGGTGGTGGTGGTGGTGGTGGTGATGATGATGATGATGATGATGATGATGGTGCTGGGGCCCGGGGCGGCAGCAGCGGGACACCTCCGGTCGGAGGGCGTGGCCTGGAGCCGAGGCCCGACGATGGCCAGGGCTGCCGGGCCCTTGCGCCTGCTCCAAGACGGGGGCGCTGAAGCTGGCTGGGCGGAAATAGCTCGTCAAGCATCCTGGCCTCGCCTTCGGCGGGGTCGGGATGCCCTCAAGAGGAAGACTCGAGTCCCTTCACCGCAGGCCAAAAGCAGTAAAGGCTAGGAGCAGGCGACCTTCTAAAGCAGCAAGAACAAGTGACTCCATCGTCCAGATCAGCTGGAGCCTGCCGGTCAGCAAGCACATCATTTGCGTATGTTCTGGTGCTCGTCGGCTTTCGAAAAACTAGGATGCTGGCACATTGGTTCTGGCTCCAATCCTGGCTGGCGGCGCGGCTACCGCCAGGAGAGGCACTGCAACAGAGACATACTATGTCATCTGGTAATACTGGATATTGGCATACTGGTTCTGGCCCCAATCTTGTAGTAGCATACTATGACATAGCACTGCAACAGAGAGGCAAACAATCGCAACGATCACCGTGACCGACTGCACAGAGCCCAACTGCAAAACTCGTCGGGTCCGAACGAACAACCAGCCGAACTGGACGAGATCGGGATCTCGCGAATCGCTCGCGAAACCTAGAACGACCCCTCATGTCGAGCAAGGGTTCAGTGGATGAATCGCGTCGTGTTTATTCATATGTATTCTCATTCAGGCCTATCTAGGAGGAAATCTCAGTGCACTTCTTCTCAAGCCGAGCTGCGATGAACGTAGGCTGGTGCGGGCGGCTAGGCAGGAGTCTGTCGATGAGGGACATGTCGCCGCTGCTCTTGTCGAGGATGCGGTCGACAGTGGCGGCTTAGTGTAGCTGGTCTAGATTATGGTGAAGCTCGGCGTCCGTTTCAAGGTAACGGATCGCCGCCTTGATGTCGTAGCTGTCTTGGGCGTGAGCCTTCGCCTTGTCCGAGAATCGCTGGATGGCCGTGAAGATCGCGGCCTTCGCGTCGTGGTTCGCGTCCTCTGGGATGGTAGAGGGAGGCTCTACCCTGTCGAAGTTATGCCTATGCTGGATCTTCGCCTTCACGTGATTGTTGTCCGATTGGTTGAGAACACCCGGTGCGCAGTCGGAACCGGCCTTCATGTCCTGCTTGGCCTTATGTGGGGCCTTGGGATTTCCTGGTCTGTCTTGGCCTTCTTTGGGATCTCGGAGACATCCTTGTCTTTGCTGGTGTCCAGGATCTCGCAAACCGCAATGTCGAAGGACTCGCTGGTCTCGACGAGTTGGTCCTTGCCCTTCTTGACCTTCTTGGAGGCCCTGTGGGCATGGCTTTGGATCTCCTTGGTCTCAAAGTCGTAGATGTCGACGCTCTCGACGGGCTGTGAGATCAGCTCGCTTCCATATTCTGGGACGCACCTTCAACGCCCTTCTGGATGTCGAAGAAGGGCCCACGCACTGGAGCGTCGGTTTCACACTGGCGGGGACGTCGCTGGACTCGTCTGCGATCAAGTCAATTCCGTAGCATACGCTGGAGATGTCGAAGTGCATCGTGGGGTTCTCCTGTAGCGACTGGCTGTTGACGGCTTTGTTCAACAGCAGCTGCAGGAACTCGCTCACGATGGTGCAGGTGGCCGGAGCACAGCAGCCTCTGGCCAAGCGCTTATGGGGGGCAGGGGGAGAGGAGAAGGCTTCCTAGAAGCACCCCTGATTCTTAAAAGGCGCGGGCCGTTTCTACAGATATGCGGGCCGGCGCCGTCTAAGAAGCGGCCTCCTTCTAAGAAGCCTTCCCCCCCCTTCTGCGCGCCGCCAACTGTTGACACCCTGCCGCACGCCATCGTGGAGCTGGAGGTCCCGACGTGGCCAGCGAGCACGTGCCGATGATTTCGCCCGCCTCGAGTGACTCGCTGGCGGAGGCTCTCTCCACACATTCTGGCGGATCTCCAGGGTGGGCGGCCAGTTTCGGCCAGACGGCGGAGTGTGGTCTGGCGGCAGAGGCCTGGCCTCGGGGCTCGTCGCGGCTCCTCGGTTCGGGCCACCTTTGAGCGCAGCGTCGAGGCATCCGCTGAGTGCTTCGACCGGCCCTCACCATGGCTGCGCCCCTGTAGAGTGGCTTCTGATGCAGGGGCTCCCGATGGAGGAGCCCTCGACGGAAGGGATCCTGCTGGGTGGGCTCCTCCCTCATGAAGGGCCTCAGACGGAGGGGGGTCCTGATGGAAGATTCTTGATGGAGGCGCTCCTAACGGAGGGGCTAATGATGGAGGGGTTCCGTCTGGGGGGGGCTCTCGATGTACTTGCTCCTGGTGGGTGGGGCTCCTGACGGAGAGTCTCCTGATGTGGAGGTTCCTGATGCAGTGGCTCCCGATGGAGGGGCTCCTGGTGGATGGGATCCTGACGGAGTTGCTTCTGATAAGGGGGGCCTGATGGACAGAGCTTCTGAAGCAGAGGTTCCTGTTTTTGGGGTCTTGATGGGGAGGCTCCTGATGGAGGGGGCTCCTGATGGAGGGGGCTCCTGATGGAGGGGCTCCTCTCGGATGGGGCTCATGATGAAGGGGTTCCTGACTGAGGGGCTCTTTGATGGCGGGGCTCCTTCTGGCGAGGCTTCTTATGGAGGGGCTCTTGATGAAGGGGCTCCTGATGAAAGGGCTGTTGGCGGATGGGCTCCTGATGGTTGGAGCCCCTGATGGACGGGTCTCCCGATGGATGGGCTTCTGATGGGCGCACTCTCGATACATTGGCTCTTGATGGAGAGGCTCCCGACGGATGGGGCTCCTGGTGAAGGAGGTGCTCGATTGAGGGAATCCCGATGGAGGGGCTCCTGATTAATGAGGCTCCTGATGGACTGGGCTCTTGACGCAGGCGCTCCTGATAGATGGGGCGCCTGATGGAGGGCCCCCGAATGAAGGGGGCCGTGAATGGGGTTGCCATCAGGTGTGCCCAACCACTTTCTTGAGTTTAGTATGTCAGATCAAATGATGCCGTTTCACTTGCTCACAGACGTGCCTACGTATCTTTGTTGTTCGAGGGGCGTCCTTTGGGAACCCACACCATCCTGACCCCAGAGATCCCAGGAGTCGGGGGAGCAAGCTCACAGATCCCGAGCCAGCGCTGAGGCCCGACTGTCTCGGATGGGCCTCCTCATCACCCTGTTGAGGTGCCCAGACCCGCTCCGAGGTGCAAACTGGACTGGGCGTGTCGTGGCATCGCTTGTCAGTGCTTACCAGTCAATCGGGACCGAACCCACCGCGCCTCTGGAGAGTGTCGAGGGCTGCGGTCCGCGGCAGCCCATGCACGGGCGCGCGTTGAGTTCTTTGTTCGGCGCGGGCAGAAGCGAGATGAGCCGACGTATGCCAGCGCGTCCGCAGCGCTTGAGGCTGGTGATTCCGTCAATGGTTATAGCGCGCGCGAGCTTGGCGGCTCTCATTGCCAGCGTTGCCAGACAGGGAATTGTAAGTCCGCGCTCGCCCCTCAGGGCCTGGTCCCGTTCCGAACAAACATTGCTATCCATTTAAACATGTAGTGCGGTGTGCCTTTGGAGGCCTCGCGATGGCTCGGCGCTGATCGGGGATGCCTTGCAGCGCGAGGCGGTGCGAGCATCGCGCGGGCGCGTTGGCGAGTGATCCCGCTAACTGCTTGGCGCAGCTTGTATTTTTGTGATTGTCGTTTTGCGCGTGCAATGTGCCCGGTGTGGCCATTGTGCCTCGCGTGCCTGGCGCCCCGCTGGTTTGCCTGGCGCGCGCGCGGCGCGCGCGCTTGCCGCGGGTTGCCTTCGATGTCTGTTTGCTTGTGTTCCCTGCCCTCCCGCATTTTCGGCCCTCGCTTTGAATTCGCGGCGCTTCGCGCCATATCTTTTCTCCTCTACTCCTCCCCATCTGCTCGTCCTCCTTTTCCTGATATTGTTCCTCCCCGCTTCGTTTCCTCATCGTCCGTCCCCTTCCTTCCTTCTTGCGCGGTAGGCTTTCGGTTTGTAGCCGCGCCGAGGCAATTTCAGCACGCCCTTCGCGCCGCGCGCTGTTCGTTGTCCCCATGCGGCTTTACATTGATAGTCCCTGTGGTGTAAGTCGTATGCTGACGCCGCAACAAGTCTAGCACGCGTTATGGCCCCGTGCGCATCCCTACCGACGCATCGCGGTCGCGCGCCGCCTCGCCGACCATTCCAGAACCACGTTCACAATGTCGGTTGCCTCATAAGGAGCTCAACCGATATCCCGCATAACACAGGCCGCACGCCGCCGCCCAGACTCTTTGAGGGCCGTTTCTCTCGCGGCTCGCGGCCCCATATTTTTGGAGTTCCATTGAAGGCCTCTGCGGCACAGGCCGCGAGCCGCGTCCGGGCCATTTCAACGCGCCCGCCGCGCCATTCGTGGCCCAAAAGGGAATGCCACCGGATGCTTTGTGGGATAGGCCGTTTGCCACCGCCCAGTACGGTTCGCGGACCCCCGCGGAGCTGTACCAAATGTATTGACGTCGCGCAGGACGCATGCCACCGCGCAGACCGTTGCAGCACGCCCATCGAACGGTTCGTCGCCCAATCATACGAAACCCCATCGAAGGCGTTTGTAGCGCAGGGCGCATGCTGCCGCTCAGACTCCTTTCGCGCGCCAGCCATGCGTTCCGTGGCAATATGAGGGGTTCCGCCGGAAACGCTGGTGATACAGGCCGCACGTCGCCGCCCCGGCCATTTCGACAGTTTTCGCACGATCCGCGGCCGCCTGAGGAAACTCCATTGAAGGGTCGTCAGGCACAAACCGCACGCCGCCACGCAGACCATTTAGCACACGCCCCTCACGGTTCGTGGCCCCGTAGGGAACTCTGCCGAAAGCGCTTGTGGCACATGCCGCATTGCGCCGTCCAGACCATTTCAGCACGCGGCCAACGTGTTTTGTTGCCAAATGTGGAGCACAGGCCGCAAGCCGCCGCCCCAAGCCAATTCAGTGTTGTCTCGCGCGATTCGTGGGCCCACTGGGAGTTCTAGCGAAGGGTTTTGTGGCGCAGGTTGTTTGCCGCCGCCCAGACCATTTAAGCGCAGTCGTCACGCGCTTGGTGGCTTCATGGGGAGCTCCACAGGATGCCCTTGTGGTAAATTTCGCATGCGGACTAATTGTGTTCGCGCGTGTCGGGCGGTCTTGTCTATTTTCGCGCTGCGTTCAGAAAATGTTGGCTCTTTCGCCAGGCTCTCTCTGCATTGGAGGGGTAGAAGGGAAACATCGGAAAGACGGACCAGCATGATGAGGACGATCGATGGCGGGGTCACTATTTGAAGGATGACGCGGGCGAGGGGCGCCTCCGATGGGGGGCATTCAGAGCATTTGTTTGGCATGTGGGCGAGCAGTGTTTCACAGTTACAATATATTTTGGTGCGACTCGGAGCTGTCACAGTGCGTGGGCGGACGGCATTAAAGGCAGGATCGACGAGGGGGGCGTAGGTGCAGAAACGAGGGGGGACGAGGGGCAGAAACGGGGGCGGCGGGCAGGGCAGGGGGAGGGCAGAGGGCTTCGCAGGGAAGCCCATGGAAGGCTCCGGAGGGCTCCGATGGGCCCGCGGTGGGTCCGGACCCCCCCCCCCGCGGTGGGTCCGGACTCCCCTCGGCATCGTTTTTTTACACGTCTGGGAGGACTGCCGAGGGGAGTCCGAACCCACCGCGGCCCCCATGGGCGCTCCCGCAGCGGTGGGTTCGGACTCCCCTCGGCAGTGGTTTTTGACATGTCCGGAGGGGCATGGCGCGGGCTCGGCATGGCCCCCCAGGGCCCTCGAGTCCGTTGCGATTGGGGATCCAAAGTGCTGTCTGGGTCCCAGAGTTGTCGTGTCGTTGGGGGCATGGGCGGGGGAGTCAACCGATGCTGCCTCCAGATTATGACACCGGGTGTGCGAAAATGAGCTGGTGGAGCCTGAGCGGGACCTGCAGTGGGCCGTCCTGGAGCTGTCTTGATGTGTTGTATCAGTGCCGTATCAGGATGTTGTGTTTTTTTTTTCTCGGGGGCATCTTGGCGACTCCCTGGTGCCCCATGGGGGATCAATGGAAGGCTCGGGATTGCGTTGCCGCGGACTCGGTTTGTCTTCGAGCCGTCCTTCGCCTGCCTTGGAGGCGACGTGGAGGCATGTGAGCCATCCGAAGAGTAGTGTGATGGAGCTCTTGGAGGCCGTCGTTTCGTTCTAATTCTCGTGTCTGTTGGGTCCTCGTTGGTGAGCCCGCAGCGCTGAACGCCTCCTCTTCTGTCTCCCCCCCCTCTACCGCCGCCTCCTACTCCAAGTCGCTTCATTTCCTCTTCAGGTATCCTTTTTTTTGCATGGGGGATCTTTGCTTTTGCTCTGCCAATGCAGTTTCGGCACGCCGTCTGAACCATTCGTGGCCCCATAGGGCCCCGCCGAAGGCCTCCGTAACACAGGCCTCTTTCCGCTGCCCGATGCCAATTCAGCACGCACCCCGCGCGGTTCGCGGCCCCATAAGACGGTGACACCGAATATTCTCGCAGCAAAGGATGCGTGCCGCCGCCCAAACCATGTCAGCACACCCTTCGTTCGGTTCGTGGCCCCATAGGATGCTACGCCAAAGTCTTTTGCAGCTCGGGCCGCTTGTCGCCGCCCAGATAACTTAAGCACCCCCCTCAAACAGTTCGTGGCCCCATTAGAAGTCCCACCGAGGGCCCTTGTAACACAGGCCGCCTGCCGCCGCCTAGTCCACTGAAGGTCTTGCTTCGCACCGCTCGTGGCCCCGAAGGGGACCCCGCCGAAGGTTTTTTGGGCATAGGCTGCATGCCGCCGCCCAGACCGCTTCAGTTTTGCATTCACACGATTCGTGGCACCATGGGAAGTTCGGCCGAACATTTTTGTTAGTGCGCAGGCTGCGTGTTTCCGACCGTGCGTGGTCAAATCAAGTATCGCGCGTATCGCGGCTTCATTGAGGTCAACGCGGAAGGTTGCTGTTGCACACGCCGCGCGCCGTCGCCGAGAGCATAGCAGCACGTTCTCACGCGGCTCGTGGCTCCACAGGGTGCAACGCAGATGGCTTCTGTCGCACAGGCCGCATGCCACCGCCCAATCCACTCCAGCACCCCCTCACACTGTTCGTTGCCACACAGGGAGCTCGACCGAAATTTGTCGTTCCAGCACAGGCCGCACGCCGCTGCCCAGTGCATTTCATGTTTTAGCTCTTGCAATCGTGGTCCCATACGGAACCCCGCTGAAGGCCCTTGTAGCGCAGGCAATTTTTCGTTGCCTGGGCCATGTCAGCACGCCCTGACACGGTTAATGGCCCCATAGGGAACGCCACCAAGGTTTTGAAGCACAGGCCGCTTGCCGCCGCCGAGACCATTTCAGTCCTTTCTTCATTCGGTTCGTGGCATCACAGGGAGCTCCACCGCCGGCCATTGTAGCACAAGCCGCGCGCCGCCGCCCGGACCATGTCAGTACAGTCTTCACACGGTTCGCTCGTGGCCTCCAAGGGGGGTGCACCGAAGGTTTTTGCGGCACACTTCGCTTGCGGGCTCGATGTGCTGGTTAGTGTTGCATGCGCGCTGCGTTCTGAAAGGGTCTGCCTCTTCGCAAAAATAAGTATGTGTGTCTGTGTGGGGCTCGTCGTGGCGCTTTTCTATGAATGCGTGGAACTGCGCCCTGAAAGAAGACGAGTCTTGCGTTTGGACGGCCGGTATGTCAGTCATGCCAACCTTGCAGCGCGAACCCTTTTGAACCTAGCGTGAGACGTGCCTTCACCGTCAGCCCCGACCTTGGGCGACACACGCGCGGCGCTGCAGACATTCCGCAAAACCGACTTCACCACAAGTGTGCGGGAGGCGCGCTAATCGCAAATAATTGGGTACGCAATTGCCAGACGTGCAACAAAACGCAACATTTGTTGCATCGCTGCGCGACGAAAGCGCAAATCTGTGCGCCGGCCGAAAGCATTACAGGACAGCAACACCGTGACACATGATGCAGCCAACTCTGACCACCGCCGGGGGACGCGGTGGGTTCGGTCCCGATTGCTTGGTAGTTACCCAGCTTGGGCGTCGCGTAATGGGGGGGGGGGGGGGGGGCGGTGCATGGGGAGGGCAGCGAGGGCTGCAGAGACGGGGCCCTGTAGGACCCCAAACGGGGACTCTGGGGCCCGAGGAGTGCACCCTTCTCCCCCTCGGTTAAATCGCCCCCCCCCGCCCCAACCCTCCTTGAAGCGACGCCCAAGCATCGCGCTTCGTTTCGTCTGGGGGGCAGAATGGGGCCACGGGACCTCTCCTTCCTGGCATGGGTGCGAGTCTTCCGCCGTGCCGTGAATCCCACACGTATCTCTCGGCGACACCCCCCCCAGCGGCAACGGCGACTTTGGCATCCGCGAGGAGGGCCCAGAGGCCGGCAGGGTGGTGCGGCTGAGGCGCCGGCTGTGGCTCCTCGTGCTCTGCCCCCCCCCCCCCCCCCATCCATGGTCTTCGACTCTGCATGTGAGAGTGACCCTTTGCCGGAGTGACCTTTGTGCGCACACATTGGGGCCCCCCGATCGCTGTCTGCGATGCGGTAGCAGCGGCCTGCTTGCTTGGATTTGGCCCCCTCGCGCCCCCCAAAAAGCCGCGCACCAAAGGTCACTCTTGCCTAGGGTCACGCTTACGTGCAGCCGATGTCTTCCGCAGCTGATAGCGGCCCCATCTCGACTGGCAGGCTGGATACGCAGAGACGGATTCACATGGCGCCGCACCTCTTTCCTGCGCTCGGCCCTCGCGTGGCCAGGAACGTTGGCCCACCGCATCTGCATCCAGCGAGTGGCGTCCGCGCGTTTCACACGTGAACCCAGCCTTGTGTGCGTGATTGTGTGTGCCTTTGTGGCCCAGCCGCCTCTTCTCCCTCGCTTGCATCAGTCCGGCCTCTGCAGGTTCCGTCTACCATTTACCCGCCGGAGATATGTGTGTATACATGTATATGTAGATTCATATATACCTGTGTACATACACTTGTACACATTTGTATACCTGTATGGGTACATGCATGTATACATATTCATGTATGTAGATGTATACGTGTACGTATGCACATATCTTGTTTTATGCATGTCTGTCTGTATGTAAGTATGTAATTATGGATGCACGCATACATGTATGTATGTATACATATGTGTTTGTTTGTTTGTATGTATGTACGTGGGTATGTATGTATGTATGTATGTAGTATGTCTGTATGTATGTATGCATGTATGTATGTATGCATGAATGCGTGTATGTATGCAATTATGTATGTATGTATGTGTGTATGCATGTATGTATGTATGCATGCATGCATGTATGTATAGATGCACGTATGCATGTATGTATGTTTGCATGCATGTATGTGTGTATGTGTAGGTATATGTGTGTCGGTATGTCTGCCTGTATGTATGTATGTATGTATGTATGTAGGTAGGTAGGTAGATATGTATGTATGCTGATGTTCAAGGTTGTATGCATGTAGGTATGTACGTACGTACGTATGCATGCATGTATGTCTGTATGTATGCGTGAATGCATGCATGTATGTAAACATGCATCTATGTATGTACGCAGGTATGCATTCGTACATGCATGCATATGGGTAGGTGTCTGCATGTGTGTATGTATGTACGCATGCATGTATGTGTATGTTCATGTATGCAGGTGGACGTGTGCTTATATACGTGCATACGTTTGGCCTATGCATTAATGGTTACATACATGTATGCGTCACACGCACACCGTATGCGTGTGCGCCAGTCGTGTATACATCTACATGTATAGGTGGGTGTGTGCTTGTATGCTCCAAGCCTGCTGCCTCCCCTCCGCCGTTTGCTATTGCTTGTGGCCCTCTTTGCTGCCATTCTGGCCGTTGTTGTCGCTGGCGCTGCTGCGCTGCCGCGCTCGGTGGCCTATGGTTGGTTAAGTCCCCTCCGTCCACACGCGGCTTCCGTTCCCTTGCCTCCCCCACTTTCGGATCTCGTTTGCGGCATGGACGCCGCATTGAGACCCTCGGGGCATAGTTCGTCTCGTCCCCTCCCAACCGGTGTTCCGCATGACCAGCGTCGAGGCCGTGTCCAGGGTCTGCCCTGCCGAGGCCGTATCCTCCACGCCACGCTTAGGACCTTCTGGGCGCGCACGTGGCCTGCTTCAGCATCTCTCTCGCTCTCTCTCTCTCTCTCTCTCTCTCTCTCTTTTTTTCTCTGTCTCGCCTGCCGCTGCTCCCTGCCTTCCCCCTTGCACTGCCTGCGTCCCCGCCGCCTGGTGCTGCGTTGACGACGCGTGTGACGCTGCCCAGCAGAAGAAGTACGTGTGTGTGTGCACCCAATCTGGGTCCCTGCACGCTCTGAGCAGCCCGCCGCGCGCGCGCCCGCCTGTTCGGTGACTTTCTCCGCCTCGACTGCGCGCGAGGCCGCGACTGCCGAAAGTGTGTTTGTGCTTGTGTGTGCGTGTCTGTGTGTGTGTGTGTTTGTTCCACATTCTGTGTCCGCTCGCTGGGGTTTCCCCCCTCGTCTGCGAGACTGGCTTGGCGCTGGGCGGTGGCCGCCCTTTGCCCAGTCCACATTTGTGCGCCTTCAGTAGCTTCAACACTATCACGCGGCTTCAGATGGATGCTGATTGGATTGACCGTGTCCCAGCCTGATATTGGTATACCGTTGACTGGTCTCTTCAGCGCGTCTGGGGAACAACGAGTTTGAATATATTGGCATTTTTGGGGGCCGCAATTTTTCATCACGAATGTAGCGGGCTTCGAACACATTTGCCGAGGCTCAGCTTGTCAAGCTTCTTCCTGGGAAATATTGGCTCGTAACTTGTTCGACGAGGCCTTGTGACTCACAATTCGAGTGTACTATGTGCGGAGCATCTGCTGGACTGCGGGGGTGCGTGAATTCAATAGCTACTAGCCGCTGCCAAGGTATCGGGGGCGCCTTATTTGCCAGGGCAGGATGGGTGGTGTAGTCGAGGTTCCCACCCCAAGAGGAAAATGTTTCGTTTTGGGTAAGAAAGCTGGCAGTGAAGAGGCGGCTTTGCAAGGCGTTTGCCGCCGCTTGATCCAGCGCCACGCCGACGAATCGCACCAGCAAGCCGATGACAGCAGCGCAAGTGGCAGCCCGACGCGCCTTCCATCTCGCTGTCACGCCAGCTCCAAGCGGATGCCGGTCACTTCTGTATGGCAGCAGCCTGCGGGTGTGTGTTCTCGTTGAAGAAGGAGCGGTCCTGACGTTTCTCATGCTTCTACCTAGGTGAACGAAGTTAGCAGATGGCATTTCGAATTACGAGCGAGCACCAAGTTAAGAGCAAAGCGAAAACGGGGCCTTGGCGTAGGTGAGGAGCGCGTTGGCGCCTTCCGCCTGGACCTCCTCTCTCCCGCAGCCTTGTGCTGTCCGAGGGTTGCTGGGGCCACCGCCTCTGACTCTGACGAACCCCGATCCACTCCTCCTCCTCCTCCTTCTCCTCCTCCTCCTCCTCCTTCCTCCCTCATCAAAGCCTGCCCCCAGACCTGTCCCGCTCTGCGGTCTAGCCAGGATCTCCAGACGGATCCAGCCGTCGTGGCGACGCGGCCAGAGCCCGGAACGGGCTTCCAGCTGCCGAGGCCATGAAATGGTCCGTCGCGTTTTTGCATTCGAGGATGTCTCGAGTCTAGATCAACGAAGTCCAGACCTCCCAGATGCGGTCGGAGTAGATGGGGCCAGCTGATCTCGCCACATCGCCGATGCATCGGCGATGCGGCTCGATGCGAAGCCCGATTCTTTCCACGCCGACGTCGCCGATGCATCGCCGACCCAACCGGTGCATCGGCGATGCATCGCCGATGCCTCGGCGATGCCGTGCAATCCTCTCGCCTCCTCTGCTCGGACCCTACCCAGGAGGCCTCTACGAAGTGACGCCTGGCCGAGGTTTTGCTACGGACTCCATCCTGCGAGCAGTCGGGCGGGCCAGGGCGGGCCTCGACGCAGCTGCTGCCCAAGAGTGTCTGGTCCCTGGGCTAGTTTTGATGTGCAGCGAAGCGTCTTTTTGACTTCCTCCTGCCTGGAGGGTTTCTCCGAAGGGCTTAGGCGACCCGTCCTCCTCCGCCTCCTCCTCCTCCTCCTCCTCCTCCTCCTCCTCTTCCTCCTTCCTATCCTCCTCCTCCTCCTTCTCCTCCTTCTCCTCCTCCTCCTCCTCCTCCTTCTCTTCCTCCTCCTCCTCCTCCTCCTCCTCCTCCTCCTCCTCCTCCTCCTCCTCCGCCTCCTCGGCCGGAGCACACTAGTCGGGAGCTGGCGCAACTCTCCAATCTAGGCGCGGCCCACCGCTCGGCGGCGAGCCGCCCCCGAGGAGGAAGGGGTGCGCCAGTCGGGGCCTATACCTCGCATGTACCCAGGACCTCGTAGGCTAGCGCCACCATGCGGTCCCACCGCCAGACGCTGCGGTCCCACCGCCAGGCGCCAGCCGCGAGGTCCAGCCTGGCAGCCCCTGCGCCGCCCCGCGCCCGCGCAGCCAGCGGCTGGGCGCCTCGCCGCTTCCAGCGCGCGCCGCCCTGCGCCTGCTCCGCGAACCGCGCCGCGTCCGCGCCCGCGCCCCGCGTTTCCAGCGTGCAGCCGCCGCGCCGCCGCCGGGCCCGCAGCCCTGCCGCGCCGCCGGCCCCCTGCTGCCCGCGGTGCCCCGCCTCCCCGCCGCCGGCCGCCGCCCCGCGCCGAGTCAGCCGCGGTCTGGCGGGCCCCCTGAGCCGCCCGGCTCCGGCGCCGCCGCCGCTGCCGCGGCCGCCGCCTCCAGCCGCCTCCGTGCCCTCAGCCGCCTGCCTCTTCCTCGCCCTCCCTCGGCGCCTCCCGCCCCTGCGCTCAGCCTCCGCCTCCCGCGCCTAGCGCCGCGGCGCCCCCTGGCCGCCCGCTGGAGAGAGCAGCGCCCGCGAGGCCCGTCGGCCCTGCTTCAGCGGCGCTGGCGCCAGCCCGCCTCGCAGCCGCGGGCGCGGCGGCCGCCCGCCTGCGCCCGGCCTGGGTGGCGGCCAGCTCCGCGTCCGCGGCGTGCCATTGCAGCACGCTTCCGCGAGCCTGCTGGAGCTCGCGGATGGCTGCTGAACGCCGCGCGTCGTCAGCGGGCGCCAGCTTCTTGGCGAGGGCCACCGCTTCCTCCCCCAGCCGCCCGTGGTCCTCTACCACGAAGGGCACGATGGGCACCAGCGGATAGCGAGCTCGCCTCCTTTTCTCCACTGCAGCTGTGGCAGCCCCGTCCCTTTTCGCAGCCCCGAGCGCCAGGGCGTCCTGCGAGACCGCGCCGACGACCGTGAGGTCGACCAAGAGCGGTTCAGCGACACCAGGCGCGTGGATCACCACGTCCATGCGCGCCTCAGGGTTCTGCAGCGAAGCGTGCGGGAGTAGCACCTCGCGTGCACAGAGCAGGCCTTGCGCCTCCTCCTTCTCCTCCTCCTCCTCCTCCTCCCTCCTCCTCCCTCCTCCTCCTCCTCCTCCTCCTCCTCCTCCTCCTCCTCCTCCTTCTCCTGCCTCTCCCCCTCCCTTACCACCTCCTCCTCCTTCTCTTCCTCCTCCTCCTCCTCGCTTCCTCCTCCTCCTTCTCCTCGGGTCGCCTACGGCCCCGGGGGAAACGGTGTACTCCTGCCCCGTCGGACACGGCACCGTCCTCCCTCGGTTTCTCTCGTTCCGTCCTCCCTCCCTTCGTCGTCGTCGTCGTCGTCGTTTGTGGCCGCGCCGCGTAGGGAAGCACAGCGGCCAGTCGGACAGGTACGCAGCACGCACGCGTCTCAACATCCGCCACGGGTGTATCGTCGTTTTCGGCCGGACCTCCCGCGGTCTCAGAGCAGCTCTGCCCGCAGAGAGTACCAGCCGATCGATACATCTCGTCTGACGATTCACCATGGGGGCGCCTGGCTCCTTACCTGCTTACTACTTGTCCCTCGGTCGCGACTGTTTCCTGACAGCTCCTGGGACGGTTTCCTCGCCCCGGATACTTTCTGAGCGCCCAGGGTCACGAAACGGGCGAGGACGAGTCGGCCGCCCAGATATCTATTTCCCGCGACGCGTGGCTGCCTCGGGCCGTGGGCGGGCCGCCCAGGCAGGGGCGGCCTCGGTCTCTCGCCCTCGGGCACTGGCGGCCGGGCCCGCGAGAAGGCACCACTGCAGCGACCCGGACTGGCAGGCGATCAACTGGGCTCCCGAGGGCCTGCTGCTGGAGGCGTCGGCGCGCGGTCGTGGAGTCGGAGGAGGAGAAGGTACCCTACACCGCTGCCCTTGCCTCGTCTTTCCCTTTGTGTGTGGGCCTCCTGGGAGGCCCTCGTCGCCACCGCTGGATTCGCCCCGAAATGCTGGTCGGAACACGCCCCTGGAGAGGTCTGTGGAGTGGTGGTACCGGTAGCTCTTGGTTTTCCCTCGGGGGCCTGCTGCCCGAGGCGTTGGCGCGTGGCCGTGCGTTCTTTGCTCGGCCCCTCCCTGTTGTGGGGTGCGGGCACTTCGGACGGGGCCAGGACGAGGATAATCCGTTCAGAGTGTTACACTCTCAGAGCGTTCCGGAACTCTCTGAGAAGGCCGCGGCGCCCGAGACATCGTCCAGATCCGCCGGATCTCAGAGATTCTCGATCTATCCTCACCCGATTTTATTCTCGTCCTGGCTTCGTCTTAGGAACCGGAGGAGGCCGGCTGCCCTCCTCCCTCCCTCTTCTGCCATCCATTGATTAGACGCGGAGTGTTTTGACCACTTCGGATCGAAGCTGAACGTGAGATACCAACCACCAGCCCTAAGTTGTTCACCAAACTGCTCGCACTCCCCACTGACATCATCATCATCAGCATCATCATCATCAGCATCATCATCATCATCATCATCATCATCATCATCATCACCATCATCATCATCACCATCATCATCACCATCATCATCATCATCACCATCATCATCAGCATAACCATAGCAGTTGGATGACGCACCAGGCGTTCTACATCAATGCGCGGTTATACGCGGAGCAGAGGGCCACAGTGCACACCAGAGCCAGGAACAGATAATTCGACATCACACGTGGGGTCAAGCAGGCCGACCCATCAGCTCATATTTGTAGGTCGTCGAGATTGAAGCTGTTTTTAGAAAACTCAAGAAGAGATGTGGGGACCTGAACAGACGGCGTGTTGGGCCATATTAAGGTATCGTCTTCGATATCCCCGAAATGCTTCTCACAAATTTACGCTTCGCAGACGACGTGCTCTTGCTGTGCACGAATAAAAGAGACGTGGTCAGAATGACCGTGGACCTGGAGACGGAGGCGAGACAGTACGGCCTCAAAGTGCACATGGAGAGACGGTGGTGCTCACAAACGCTTTCCCGCTACCGGCAAGCGTGCGCTGCATGGTGCACGACGCGCGGGCCCTCCAGCAGGGGGAATCCAAGAAGTACTTGGGCAGAACATTCAAACGCGTACCATGAGACAGAACTCGCGCACAGGATATCCTTTTGGCTGGTCCGTCTTCGCACGATTAGAATATGTGTTGTGTCAGCGACGTTGCCCTCCCAGACACCGTGTACGACTGTTTCATGCCTGCGTCGCACCCAGTGAAATGTATGCTGCAAGGTCATGGACTCCACGTTGGACCAAAAGAAGGAGCCGCAAACGGCGCAACGCAGTATGTTACGGCAAATGGTACGAGTTGGTCGATTGCCCGATGAGTCTTGGGTTTTTTTCTACATCTAGCGTGCCATTCATACCACCATAGAGCTGGCCAAAAGGTTTGGCGTGGAGGAGTGGGCCGCGTTCTACGACGAGGCGAAGAAGACGCTGAGCGACAAAATCGCCGCATGCGAGGACAATCGGTGGAGCGCCAGAGCGCTCAAGTGGGTGCCTTGGCAAAGGATGCCCGCCAAGAGGATGCGGGGCGGGCAGCACAAACGCTGTGCTGAAGCCCGACGACTTTTTTTTGGCGGGGGTTGTACGCCCCAGCTTCCTGCTGGAGTGGTAGGGACACGCCTGCCACCTCCATGGGCTGTCTGTCTTTTTTCCCCACATCCTGAGTGGGGTTCTTGTTTTCCCAGAACACCCTCTCCTTCCCACCCACCTCCCGCTCCATCATACATACCATACCATACCATACCACACCATACCACACCATACGTACCATACCGTACCATACCATACCACACCATACGTACCATACCGTACCATACCATACCATGGCGTACCATAGCATACCATACCATATCACACCTCCAGGGAGGCCCCGCCTGAGCGAGGAGGGTATCGGAATACCATACTATTTACATGGTTTCGTGCCCCTCCCACCCCTCCAGGGAGGCCCCGCCTGAGCGAGGAGGGTATCGGAATACCATACTATTTACATGGTTTCGTGCCCCTCCCACCCCTCCAGGGAGGCCCCGCCTGAGCGAGGAGGGTATCGGAATACCATACTATTTACATGGTTTCGTGCCCCTCCCACCCCTCCAGGGAGGCCCCGCCTGAGCGAGGAGGGTATCGGAATACCATACTATTTACATGGTTTCGTGCCCCTCCCACCCCTCCAGGGAGGCCCCGCCTGAGCGAGGAGGGTATCGGAATACCATACTATTTACATGGTTTCGTGCCCCTCCCACCCCTCCAGGGAGGCCCCGCCTGAGCGAGGAGGGTATCGGAATACCATACTATTTACATGGTTTCGTGCCCCTCCCACCCCTCCAGGGAGGCCCCGCCTGAGCGAGGAGGGTATCGGAATACCATACTATTTACATGGTTTCGTGCCCCTCCCACCCCTCCAGGGAGGCCCCGCCTGAGCGAGGAGGGTATCGGAATACCATACTATTTACATGGTTTCGTGCCCCTCCCACCCCTCCAGGGAGGCCCCGCCTGAGCGAGGAGGGTATCGGAATACCATACTATTTACATGGTTTCGTGCCCCTCCCACCCCTCCAGGGAGGCCCCGCCTGAGCGAGGAGGGTATCGGAATACCATACTATTTACATGGTTTCGTGCCCCTCCCACCCCTCCAGGGAGGCCCCGCCTGAGCGAGGAGGGTATCGGAATACCATACTATTTACATGGTTTCGTGCCCCTCCCACCCCTCCAGGGAGGCCCCGCCTGAGCGAGGAGGGTATCGGAATACCATACTATTTACATGGTTTCGTGCCCCTCCCACCCCTCCAGGGAGGCCCCGCCTGAGCGAGGAGGGTATCGGAATACCATACTATTTACATGGTTTCGTGCCCCTCCCACCCCTCCAGGGAGGCCCCGCCTGAGCGAGGAGGGTATCGGAATACCATACTATTTACATGGTTTCGTGCCCCTCCCACCCCTCCAGGGAGGCCCCGCCTGAGCGAGGAGGGTATCGGAATACCATACTATTTACATGGTTTCGTGCCCCTCCCACCCCTCCACGGAGGCCCCGCCTGAGCGAGGAGGGTATCGGAATTCCATACTATTTACATGGTTTCGTGCCCCTCCCAAGCGGGGCCCCGCCTGAGCGAGGAGGGCATCAAGAAAATGGGTCCCACGAAACCGTTAATCTCTTTATGTGGGGAACTCCGTTAGCATAATTACCTAACAGCGAAGGCTGATAGGTTTCTAGTGGTCTCAAAAGAGAGCATCATGACTCCCCAGGGGGGTCCGGGCAGGATCCGGGGAGAATCCGCGGATCCGCCAGTGACTATGGGGAACGCACCACTGAGGCTGAGGCTGAGGCCCCCAGCGCCGCCAGTGACTACGAGGAATGCACCACTGAGGCTGAGGCTGGGGCCCCCAGCGCCGCCAGTGACTATGGGGAACGCACCACTAAGGCTGAGGCTGAGGCCCCCAGCGCCGCCAGTGACTATGGGGAATCCACAACTGAGGCTGATGATGCGGCCCCCAGCGCCGCCAGTGACTATGGGGAATCCACCGCTGAGGCTGAGGCTGAGGCTGAGGCTGAGGCTGAGGCAGGCTGAGGCTGAGGCTGAGGCAGGCTCAAGCTGAGGCTGAGGCTGAGGTTGAGGCTGAGGCTAAGGCTGAGGCTGATGCAGGCTGAGGCTGATGCAGGCTGAGGCTGAGGCCGAGGCTGACGCAGGCTGAGGCTGAGGCAGGCTGAGGCTGAGGCTGAGGTTGAGGCTGACTGAGGCTGAGGCTGAGGCAGGCTGAGGCAGACGCTGAGGCAGGCTGATGATGAGGCAGGCTGAGGCTGAGGCTGAGGCTGAGGCTGAGGCTGATGCAGGCTGAGGCTGAGGCAGGCTGAGGCTGAGGCCGAGGCTGAAGGCAGACTAAGGCTGCACACGCTGAGGCAGGCTGATGCTGAGGCAGGCTGAGATTCCCGGGTTATTTTTTGAATGCGAGGAGCCAACTGTAGCCCACTTCGTGTTCTTCGTGTTCCCAGAACACACCTCGGGCTCCCCGCCGTCAAGGCGCAACTCCCCCCTGGGGTTCAGGAGGAGTCGGAGGGGGGGAACGGGTGGGAGGAGCAGGGGGACGTGCAGGAGGAGGAGGAGGACGAGCAGGAGGAGGAGGACGAGGACGAGGACGAGCAGGAGGAGGAGGAGGAGGATGAGGAGGAGGAGGAGGAGGAGGAGGAGGAGGAGGAGGAGCAGGAAAAAATGGACGAGCCGGAGCAGGAGGAGGACGAGGAGGGGGAGGAGGACGAGCACGAGGAGGAGGACGACCAGGAGGAGGAGGAGGAGGAGGAGGAGGAGGAGGAGGGAGGAGGGAGGAGGAAGGAGGAGGAGGACGAGCAGGAGCAGGAGGAGGACGAGGAGGAGGAGGAGGAGGAGGAGGACGAGCAGGAGGAGGAGAAGGACGACCAGGAGGAGGAGGAGGGAGGCGGACGAAGGGAGGGCGGCCGGCTGCCCCGGCCGGCTGCCCCGGCCGGTCGCCGCGCAGCCATTTCGGCCTTCGGAGGAGGAGGCGGGGGAGGAGGGGGAGGACGAGGAGGGGGCGCTTCGGCTCGGCGCGTTCTGACCACCTCCGCAAATCTCTGGGCCGCCCCCCCCCGCCGCGAGAAGCGGTCACGGGGGGGGGCGGCCTGGCCAGGGCGCGTTCTGACCACCTCTTCGATCATCCTCCTTGATCCTCCTCCTCGATCCTCCTCCGTCGCCGTCGTCGCCGTCGTCGCCGTCATGACGGCGACGACGACGACGACGCACGCCCCTCCAGGGCGCCCCCCCCGCCGCAAGCAGCGGTCACGGGAAAGCATCCTGGAAGGGGCGCGTTGCGCCTCCCTCTCTGGGTTCTGGAGCGC